ATGAGTTTACACCTTTAATTTTTATCTTCATTCCATGTGTTATCTATCTTCTACTACATGTGTTATCTATCTTCTACTACATGTGTTATCTATCTTCTACTACATGTGTTATCTATCTTCTACTACATGTGTTATCTATCTTCTGGTACATGTGTTATCTATCTTCTGCTACACGTGTTATCTATTTCACTTTTTACACATCTTCTACTAGAGAGAAAACTCGTGCTTCGCGTGCCAAATATTTTTTGGGAATGGTATTTTGTATTTGAATGCACAAAGTTTATAAAATGTGAAGACAGTATTTAAAGTAATTAAAACAGTTAAGTGACCTACATAGACTATTCACGTATCAGGTTAGGTACGCAGATTTCTGAACAAATCTGATGGCCGCGCGGGGCGTCTCAGTTGTTGAGAGGTTCAATCTAAGTGAGTTAAACCTATTCTACAACATCTGATACCCACCAAACACCTCTAGTATAAAATACAGTTTGATCTGAAAGGTCTGATAAAAAGAGAAAAACTGATCAAATTATCTAATAAGACACATCAGATCTGGCAACGCTTTCAAAACTTGGATATCGGAGATAAGTATTAAAAATCAACAGGGTGACCGAACCGGTTCTATTGTTCCAAGTGCTACCTATTTTCTATTTCACCTATTATCCATCTTCTATTCCACCCATTATATATTTATATTCCACGTGTTATATTCAGGGTTTAACAAAACCTTTAATACCTACGGGCTGAGAACAACATAAGAACAAAAAACAACCAAGACAGCGTTTAGGGTTAGCTTAGGACGTTATAGATATGTACCACACGTTCTTCAAAGCTAATGAAGAAAGAAAATGACAAAAGTAAATGTGTCAGTGAAAAGAAAAAAAGAACGGAATTCACAAGGTTAAATAAACATGTTTATAGGATAGGTATTTAGCAACTTGTGTAAGTAAAAAATAGGCGTATGGGTAAGGAAGAGGAAGCAAATATCTTACATCATGTTAATATCTTACTTTTTTATACATAAGGTGTATTTTATGTATAACAACTTTAGTATTATAATGAGAGTAGCGAACGAATAAAATTTTAGTAAATTACTGTAATAATAAATTTGTATATCGCCAAATATTAGTAGTTGAGAGACAGTAAATAGGTTTAAGTTTCTGTGTAAATACTCTTAGGTTTTGGAAATATGAAAGTAATTGAGATAAAATATTAAAATATATCAATCAGTATAATCGCTGTGTTACGACTGTGTATATAGTCATTATCAGCTATCTCTTACGGTTTTGAATATCTTATTTTTATTTTGGTACACTATATCTTTTAGCAGTGGATATGTATATTTAATAGACAGAAGTAGAACACGTTGAAGTAAGAATAAGTTGTTATAGCTTTTATACAATTCAATAATTGCATCTCCAAACAGCTGGAAACAATAAAAAACGGAGTTTGAAGACTGCTAAATACATTCTAAAACAATATGTTCAATACTGCGTAAACCATTCTTATGCATATTCTCAGTTTATTCTGAATTCTAATTACATAGCGGGAAAAAAACAACAAACGGAATACAAAGTTTTCTTTACCGCAGTCTTTACTTCTGACGTAACGACAATACATCGACAACAAGTTTCATTTATCTTCTTTACACAGTTTAATTTAATTATCTAATGGGTTTGGAAAACAGTCCAATCCCATACCTGATTATATAACTATACAGTAATAATGATGATAATAATAAGTTAGACTTTATTAACACACACTGACGGTATTTTCATATCTGACCAGTTCAACTGAATAAGTTAAAAAGGTTTGTACATAAAAATATTTTTTTAAGACACCACGTAAGAAAACCTACGATAGTTTTACTGGTAAAAAAATACGGTGATAGTACGTTAATTTAGCCACAAATTAGTATAAAATTGGGAACGTTTCGTAAGCAGTATATTGTAGAAAATATTTTAAACAATCCTGCTTGATTCTACTCCGTTAGGTTAGCAAGCACTGCAATGAAATGAAAGCAATTATAATATTACTGGCAAACATTTTAATTCAAATATATTCCGTATGTGCTAAGCCTATTCCAGTTTAAAGGATTGATGAGGAATTGGCACCCAGTGTACGGCTTGGAATTTAACTAATATTAACATAAACTGTGAAAAAAATTAAAGTTCTTTTTTAAGACTGCGGTTCACTGTTTATGTTTAAAATTGTACAAGTCAGAGAATAAATAGTTTCTAAAAACACTTTCCGATAAAGATGTGTATATCTTCTGATATCTTAAAATGTCTTAGCCCTTTATATTTCACTATTTACACCATTCGTTTTTCTTTGCATATCGTTTTTGTTTCACTTAAGTACTATCCTTCAATCAAAAATAAACTCTCCATCCAATCTGTGATATGAGCTCCGAACAGCAAGAATTGCCACATCTTTCAGGGCAACCTAAACAGGCACGTCATTAACAGTCGTGTTTTCGCAAGAGAAGTCACAATTTACACTATTTATTTTTATAACTTTTTACATCATTTACCAAACATCAATTTTTTCTTATTTATACAACAAAATACATAGCAAATGTCGCAATGTATATGATGAATTATTACCAATTAAATACACAATTAATACACTTTCTAAGTTAGAGAAAATGTCACAAAGTTTTAAAGATGAGTGTATTTGTTGTTCACACATTCGCGTAAGGACTTATTTTCCATCGTTGACTTAGCTGTAGTATAATCTTGGAACATCATACCAAAGCTATTCATTTTATGTATTTTACCATTCGTGCTTTATATAATGTAATTTTGGAGTTAACTTCTTTAAAAGATTATATAATGATTCTGTTAGTCAAAACAGAAAACATATAAAATATTTATGCGGCAGTGTATCAGTTAAGGTTAACATTGATCAGCTGAACCAACCTTTTTCTCAGTAACTTACCCTCTAACATGAAAATTATTTTCCCAAGTAATTCCTACGCTTTATCCGTTGATATTAATATTATTTTTATATTTTTTTCTGAGTGATGTCTACTATTTATCAGCCGATATTAACATTATGTTCAGTGTTTCTTTCCTAGTATCGCCTACACTTTATCCATATATGTTGATATAAACATAATTTTTTATTAATATTCTGAGGAACACCTAAACTTTATCTCTATCCGCTGATATAAACATATTTTTTATTTCTTTTCTAAATTATGACTACACTTTATCGGCTAATACCAACATTATTTTCATTATTTCTTTTCAAGAGGTCACCTTCACTTTATCCTTTGATATAAACATTATTTTCTATTACTTTTCTATGAGACACCTACACTTTATCCGTATCTGCTGATATAAACATTATTTTCTATTACATTTCTATGAGACACCTACACTTTATCCGTATCTGCTGATATAAACATTATTTTCTATTACTTTCTATGAGACACCTACACTTTATCCGTATCTGCTGATATAAAGCATTATTATTTATTACTTTTGTGCATGACACCTACACTTTATCCGTATCTGCTGATATAAACATTATTATTTATTACTTTTGTGCATGACACCTACACTTTATCCGTATCTGCTGATATAACCATTATTATTTATTACTTTTGTGCATGACACCTACACTTTATCCGTATCTGCTGATATAAACATTATTATTTATTACTTTTGTGCATGACACCTACACTTTATCCGTATCTGCTGATATAATCACAATTCTTTATTACTTTTCTGAGTGGTACCTACACTTTATTCGCTGATATAAATATTATTTGTATAGGTTTTTTGAAAGACACTTATATTTTTTCCGATGATATAAACATTATTTTTATTTCTGAGTGATTCTTACACTTTACTTGACTAATAACAACATTATTTTCATCACTTCTTTCTGGGTAATGCCTACAATCTATAGACTGACACCAAACTTATTTATATCGCTTTCCTGAGCAACTCCTTTCTTTAATCTGGTCCCCCAACGGTAAGTTTGTGGACTTACAACGCTCAAATCCGGGGTTCGATTCAATGCAGTGGAAATATCACAAATAACCCATTGCGTGGCTTTGCGCTTAAAAAAAAACAACAATAATTTTATCCGCTCATACCACCTTTGCTATTTTTCTTAATTTCACCTGCATTTTATCCGCTGATACCAACACTATCATTTTCTTCCTATGTTTTATCGGCTGATACCAACATTACTTATTGTCTTACTGAGCTACTCAACACCCTATACTCTCATATCAACATTATTTTTTTAATAATTTTTCAGAGTGACGCTTCTGTTATCTGCTGAAACCGGTATGACGTCAGTTATCACTAATGTTTAACGCGTCATATTGAAACGTTCCAAGTCAGCCGTTTAATTCCACTACGACACTAGCTGGGCTTAAGACACTTCAATTTGATATTCATTAACGTTTTAAACTGATATGTAATAAATGCTGTTGCAACGCTTTTTGCCAAAAGAGAGAAGACTTCCAAGTGAAATCGGAAGCCATCAGCAGGTACTTGGACGTTAACACTTGATTTTAATAGGTAGCAACAACATGTTGCTGTTTTAACTTAGTTTTGTCAGATTTTTTCAATATATCAGTAAACAGTTACCCGACGTCATGCTGCTTTAACCAAGTAAGTATATTTTAATCGTTTAAAGCTGTCGTATTGATCTTAAAACATAAAATTATTGGTCATTTACAAATTAAAAACAAATCTTGTTACAAGGCGCATAAACCGAAATGTTTAAAGAAAAAGCCCGGGATAAAAAGAAATAACACGAATTCTGATATTTCTTGCGAAAGAGCTTAAAAAAAGATCAAAACTTTTTATAGATTAAAAATATTACAGGTGTTCCATTTCAAGAATTAAAGAGACATTACGAATCTTTCTTAATTGTATTTAAGTTGTTGCTCTACGCAACAACAAAGACCAAATAACAAAAACAATGAAAAAAGACATGTAAGTCAAGGTATAAACAAAAGAATAAGGGAAGCAGCTTCGATTTCTTCTACACGTTACTAACCTTGCAGAATGTTAAACGTTGTTACATATTTGTTTCAACAGATAAACTTCTAAACACTTTGAAAACACAACAATAAGACATGTAGTTAATAATTTGTCGAAAAAGGGCGTTTTTGTTCTCGATTAAATGTGGTACAGACGATGAAAATTATGGTAGTTAAACTGACAAGAACACTTGAGCATATTTACCACATACGGTTTGTTAATAAATTTGCCGACATAACTAAGACTGTGAGTTTTCTCCTCCGGAAAGAGAGTTTTTCCGTTCTTGAGCGCGCTCTATACCGAGTTTTTTGGCTGCCGAAGTAGCTAAGAGATCAATCTCTGCATATTGTACAACTTCCGACTTTAAAGCCGGGCTTGCCGGCTCAGAGTTTCCCATCTCAACTTCAAGATAATTTAGCTCTTTGTCATCCTTTGGGAATACAAAATGAAAGTTGTGTCGAGTGGATGTCGGAGAACTGTATGAGCCTTCAAAATACCACGAGGGGGAGCCTGGTGAAGAAGTAGTAGTTGTTTTTGGAACTTGAAACTGTCGGGAAGGAGGCTTCTGGCGGTGCTGAGAACATTCTTTGGTGTTACGAGTTGGGAAGGTGTTTACTATCTGTTCTAAGGCAGCACGAGGTTGTTGGATGTTCACTCCCATCGTGGCTGCACGATAAGCAAGGGCGTATACTTCTTCAGCCCTTAGGTATTCACAGCTGCTAGTGCTACTGCTGCTGCTCCGAGAGCACAGCGACAACGTTTCTATGTAATCACTCATGTCGGAAGAAGAGCTACTGGATGCAGCTGAAAGGTCCAGCACACCTAGTTGGTCTGGAGGCAACATGTGACTATAGATGCTGCAATCTGTGAACAGGTAATGGGATTTTGATAAACATCATATATTTTGTCTTGTTTTTTTTTACAGTTTATATTTAGAAAATCTGTTTGATTGAGAGCTTTCACTAAAATAACTGAAAGAAACACTTTGTTCTGATTTTTATAGTTAAGGAGACTTTATCACGAACTTAGTTCAAATATGTGTGTCCCCATGATGATTTAAATTACCAAACAAATTAATAAACAGAACCGCGTGAACTGACTGACTAATATCGTTCCATAGAACGTAATACATTCTGTTGATTCTCAGATATAACACGAACATTCAGCGAGTTATAGTTTTGTAAAAGGTCCACACTTGCCCAAAAAACAACAGAAATTTACCGAATCTCTTTCTCTTCAGAAACAATATCAATTCAATACATGGATATAGGTTTATCATGAATTATTCAACTTGAAAATAACTTTGATTTAGATTTCAATTTTTAATTTTTTGGTGAACTACAATGTTACAGATGTTTGTACTTGCATGGCACGTGACAGTAACTACGAGTTAACTGTGTGTAAATATGAAGTTCAGCTTCAAATTTCAGTTCTTGTTCTATTTCAGAAAACATGATTTTAAAGATTTCCTTAGAGTAAAATGTCATACTTAATTAGGACAAGTACGCCATCAACGCTTATAAGCTGTTTTGAATTCCAATTTATTCAACTTCTACCATAAAACTTGAAACTGCAAAGCAAAACACAACAAAATAATAACTCTGAAATAAGTCAACGTTGCTTAGTGATTAATAACCATATTATTGTTTTTTTTCTATCTTTAGTTTCTCTTTGGGTGAGTAAGATTGTTTGATCGACTAATATTTCAGTTTAGGTCTGTCTAATCGCCCCAGTAAAACCCTCCCAAACGAACATTATGAGAGTATTCCAAACGATAAATTTTGATAAATACAATATTTTTGTCCTTTCATACTCTATACATTAATTTTCATCGAAACCACGAAATAGGATTTGTAAAACATCTGGTTTGGCAGTTAGTTTTTTTCTTTTTATTGATACATGTTGTTTATTTTCTTTTGCAACAAAACCACTTGTTTGATGCTTCATTTTGAGGTTAACAGTGAAAGTACAGCATACGTCATTGTCAGTTTATTTTTTCGGTTTTGTGCCATGCTTGAACTGTAAAATACAATAAAATTGTGTGCGACAGAAATACTAACAATTTTCATTCGAACAGAAGAGCTGATTTTAAAAGACTTATAAGTCTAATTATGTTAGCTAACATAATATACGTTTAGATTTTAAAAGTTTTGTACAATTGTTTGATATCCTTGAGCAGGAAAACGTAACTTAAATATTCCACTGAGTTAAGAATTTAAGGAAAAATTGTTTTTATATTTTATATGTTACAGGAAAGAAATAGCTTGGAAGATACACGTTTAAATTATACTGATAAATTTGGTAAAACTAAAAGATAAAAGCGAAATGTTTGTACTTTTTAACAAAATATAAAATACACATTAATACAATTGTCTTAATATTGGTAAAAATCAAAGTGGTCGAAATTAAAAAGCAAAATCGTAAAGAAATAAATTGAAACTGTTAAACAAAGTTTTATAGAAATTACACAAGATAATGTAGGAGAATATGTTTTTGGTAGAACTTTTCCCCCTTTGTCTTATATTTTGTTCATCAACTTCTTGTTATTAAGCATAGTATTATTTTCGCTTTCATAACATTTAAGTATGTCTAAGATCTTCTCTAGCAGCTTTTTTTTCCTTTGTGTAGTGTTACAGGTTTACCTATGGAGCGAACAAATATCTTTAGTCTGTCTAGTTTTTGAACTAGTCGAATATTTAGCCCCATTTTCTGATGGTCGCGCGTATTCGGGCAGGTACCTCGTCGTATAAGTAGAGTACAGCCCAAGTGGTAAACTGTTGGGCATGTTTTTGTTTAGGTAATAACCAGATGAATCATAATAATTAAACAACTTAGAAATATAGTAAAGATGATACAAAATTTTCAAAAGATTAGGAACTAGAAAATTAAATTGGGGTCAAGAATACAAGCACGCAGATTCCTAAATGAATAAAACGATCTACTGTTGAACCTTTCATGTAAGTAAGTTAGTAAATTTACACGTGGAATAAGCCGATTAAGCCGCATTTCTGCTGAACGATACTATGATACGCTTCGAGGCTAATATGCGATTTATATGTTTTTGCACATAGTGACAGTGGCGCCCCCAATACAATTATTCAGATTTGTTCTGGATCCACCAGTGCTTTCACACATAGTATCTCATAAACTACAGGTCTGCTGTTCCCATTACATAATGACGGTTGGTACCATGCAACACTATCTCAAGGTCGCGGTTTAAAACCTCGCAATAGCTACACATAGAGGGCGCCCGAAGAACATGGCGACACAAATACTCTCTTTTACAGGCTTTATAATATGATATCGTTTGTGTAATTTATTCGAAATGGATTGCTAAGTTGCCTGGATATTCGATATTTCGCCGTAAAAATCCAGTATGACCCTTGAAAAGGGGCACATCATCTTTAGAAAGGGGGGCGCCAGACCCGTGTTAGATCGGCGAGGGGGTAACTGGGGCAGTTGCTCCCCCTAAAATCCGCCACTGCATGCAAGAGACAATAGTTTCGATTGTGATTGTTCCATAAAATTGTAGTTTATCCGAAACAATATGCACAATGCCTTGCTTCATATACTGAAGAAAATGGCTGCTTCTAACAATGCGCACACTGCTTTGCTACATATATCGGATACATTATCCGTCCCTAACAATTTACACAGGGCCTTGTTAAACACACTGGAGAAATTTGCAGTTCCTTACACAAAAATTTCGCGTCTGTCAAATAATATAAACAGTGCTTTGCTACATATACTGGAGAAAATAGCCGTTTCTTGCAAGAAAATATCGTGTACGTGAAACAATGCACACAATGCCTTACTACATATATTGAAGAAATTGATCGTCCCTAGTAATGTACATAGCACCTTGGTACATGTAACAGATAAACTGGACGTCCCTTACATAAATCATTTCACGAACGTATTTAAAACACTTAAAAGGTAGTCATAGTTAAACATTTTATACATTGTAATAGGCTACCTATAAGACCGCCATTTAGATTTAAGATTTTAACGAAATGAGAGAACCTTCTAGATAGAAAATATGAAGTTACTTTCATTAAGCTTTTCTTAAAGCTAACGAAGCGTGATTATAATAAATTATACTTGTCATAAGACAATAGTATGAGGTTTATTATACAGAATGGTCCAAAATTATCATTCCTATTTTAAAATTTAATAATTAAATAACAAAGGAAATACAACCATGCCATTTTCAACATCTTGTACCACAACTCAAACAGTTTTTATTGTTATGTTTTTTTTTCATCCAATGAGTAGTGTTACCCCGAAAACTGGCAACTGTGCAAGAAAAGGCTCAATGCATTGTTTGTTTTGCAGAGACCAAGTCAGTGACTGTGGTTCAGCGTAATTACAGACGCCAGTACAGGAAAGAAGTACGGGGGTATGTTAAGGATATTGTGTATTACACACTTATAGCAAACTTCATGGAGCTAAAGACCAGTATAATGGATGTCATCGCCACTGTAACTGCGGACATGTTGCAGCGAACGTAGACTGAAATCGTATATCGGTTAGACGCGCTGAGAGCCAATAATGGGGCAAACGTAGAAGTCTACTGACATCTCAATAAAAACTGTTTGAGTTGGGCTAAAAGATATTGAAAACTGCATGGTTGTATTTTCTTAGTTAGTTTATAACTAAATTTAAAAATAAGAAAGATAATTTTGGACTACTCTGTATTTTTAAACACTGCATTTCGTATTTGGTCTCATGTTTTTTGTTTTGTTTTTAGAAAAGAAGAGTGTATAACAGTATTTAAACCATATTATGTATGTCATATCCCTTAGTATATTCAGTGAAACGAGTCATTGGCAATGGATATGTCAGACATATTGGTTGAAATACTATTATACACTTTTATTTTCGGAAATCTTAAGGGACCGAATAAAGAATATAGTGTTTGAAAATACAATGAGTCTAATACTTCTGTCTAACGATAACAGTTGTTATTCTAACAAATGGCTTATATAAATAGTGTTCCGACCACTATTACTTTTTTAGTATCCAAGCCGGCCCGATGAGCGTTGGTATTAAGTGAAACGCGTCGTCGGCATGCGATATGACAGAACAGTGTGTGGTTGAAATGCTATTATATGTTGTGTTTCTAGGGAGCGAATAAAGAATGCCGTGTTTAAAAACACAATAACCTCAGTATTGTTGTCTTGTGAAAAACATATATCAGTAAACACTTAACCCTGGAGAAAGGCGAAAGCCGAAATGTATTTTAGGTATTAATAAACAAATTTCTTCCAATTTTGTGGTCGTAATTCTTATAATTTCTAATTTCCAGTCGGCACTTAAAAATCTAAAGTTTAAAAACAAATAAAACCAAAAGTTCCATTTTGAGCCAAGTTTTTCTGTTAAATTTTTCAACAGTTAATTACTGCTTCTTATAGAAAATCAGTTATATGATTTACGCTTTCACTAAAGCGTGGCTCGTTGGTCGTGGTGCCATTCACTCTGAACTTTCTTAAAGTATATATTTTGCCGAATGCTAGTTGTGCATGTGTATGTGTACAGGTTTTGACATTTTCAACAATATTACATGAGTATAAAATGTTCACCAATACACCACTTTATTATTACGAAACAGTGCTCGAGCTATCCAGCCCCAGTGGTCATCTTTCTGTGCTATAGATATTAAATAATAGTATACTAAAAACAACCATCATTACGTCTTAGCTCTTACCTTTTGTGTCTCTACATCGACCGCTTTTCGAGATTTTATGTGAACCAGAATTTCCGTGTTTTCTAGAATGGTCTACACTGCTTTGAGTGGAAAAAGCCTTTGTGCAGTTGTCTTGATTTTGTTTTCTAGGAAGCGACCCATGTATACACGTGGTAGCTGTAATGTTAGTGGGTGGTGATCTTTCTTCCCGAAATCCATTAAGCCCTGGTATTTTCGTTCCAACTTCATTCCTTCCCGATTTGCAAGGAACACTACACGATCTTTTAATCATGCTTAGTCGGCATTGACCACTGTCGATACACTTTACTTGATTAGGAAGAGGATCATTGCTTAGGTCTTCTTCTTCAGACAACTTTGAATCTTCGTCCGTCTTTAGGCAGTCTGCTGATCTACACTGCGAAAGCCTGTGAAGATTTTCAAAAGAATGCTTACTAGGAGAATTAGGAACTGAAGATGAAGGAGAAATTTCATCAGTGCTGTAGGACTTTTCCTTTGTTCTTAACGTCAGTTTAGTCAAGATCGAACATTTTCTTCCTGGGAGAGTCTTAGATACTTCTACTTGGCGAGACGAACCTTCTCTACTTTCAGAAGCGTTCTCTCGACTCTCAATAGAATTAGATCTTTCCCTCTTTAATACTTTCTTTTTTAAACTACCCAAGGAGCTTGATCGACTAGCCCGAAAAAAGACTTCTTCTGGAATTAAACCTTTTTTCTTTATGAGACGATTTCCTGGAGTACAAAGTTCACTCCCATCTTTAGATTTTTCAACATTTTCCTGCTCTAAGTCTGGAACTTTATTCGGTAGAAAATAGGGCATAAAAGGTCTAAGGGGTAAACTTTCTTGCGTGCTCTGTGCTTTACTGGGGGTATCAGAAGGATTTATTTCAGCGTTAACAAGGTCCAGGTTTGATATTGAAGTAATTGAAATTAGAGATTTCCAAGGATCCACAGGTTCCATTGGTAAGTAATTATCAACACGTGACTCAAGTGGATGAGACGTTATGTGTTGGCATGACATCATTTCATAAATACTTTCACTATCGTGTATTGAAGATGACTTGCTATCTGAAAACACCTGACATTTTCCATCACATTCAGTAGAGCAGTGTGTTTTATCATCTTTATTCAAGAGGGCTACAGAAGCCTTGTTTACAACAGGCTCATCGTCATAAGGCTGGCCGACCAAAACGGACGCCGAATTTTCGTATAACTGCAAAGACTGAATAAAATCCAAGTTAGCATAGTCTCGAAATTCATTAATGACTTTATATTTCTCACCACTTTTGGAGGTTCGCGGTTTCTGAAAATTTACATAATTAATGGAAGCATCTGGGATATGTGATATTTTCTCAGTTGAGGTTACGATATTCTTCGTTTCTGCTAAGCTCTCACTAGATTTCACTCTATTAGTTTCAGGGGGAAGTGATGAGTCGAGTTGATATGTTTGTAACTCTGAGTTCAAGATGATATGCTGTGGTTCTTTGCCACCCACAAGAACTACTTCAACAGGTCTTTTCGTAGGTTCAGCACACACAGGGATCTCGACGACATTTCTGAGTTCGTGCTTCTGTTGACCAGAGCTAGAAGGTTGATTCTTATCATCTAGAGCGTCACTTCCCCAGCAAGGCATGAGATTTCCTGCCCATGACATCATGTTGTGACAAGCACAGCTCTGGACAAAGCTCTGCTGAAGCGGTTTGGGCTGATCATTTGTCTTTGGATGACTACAGGTGCAACAGGTTGGAATTTGCATGTCAAATGATGATTTGTTTTGGTTTTTCTCTGTAATTAGGTTTTCCTGAAATAATATGAAGTAATATCAAGCAAACATTTAGCAAGAGAAATACTGAAATAAAGCACACACAGATTTATATAGAAAGAAGTAGATAACTGCTATCTTGTAAAGTATCATAACTTATGATTCATAAGGTACAAATAAAAATTGGACCGTAATATACATACGGTACCTTATTAACAACTATTATAAGAAAATTGTTGATTCTTTCCGTCAACTTTAACTCTTCTACGGCTGAATCATGCATATTAGATATAACATGTTCCTTTTAAAACTTTAACATATATCACAGTCTCTTTAAGTGAGATCATATAAAAAATATACGTTCTATTGTGCAGGAGATGGGCTAGCAATTAATATTACTTCATTATGTTATATTATAAAGAGAATGGGCTATAAAATACCAAACTATGACTGCGTTACATCCTGCTATATAATAATGAATTACCAAATAATACAGCTAAACTACAAAATGGTCACAAAACTGCTTTTAAATAATTCAACCATAAAAGTGTCACACTTCACATACCGTGTACTGTAAGTGCTCACATTTTATCTTTAGACATCGTCCGGCTCACTGAAAGTGTCATTAATGACTGTTGCAGTGTTTTGAACATTTACAGGTATGGAAGCTTGTCTTGTGAGCTAATGTGTCATTTGAAACCCAGAAAATACCTTATGAACTAATTTTCACTATGCTGTTTGAATAGCACGAATACTTAATACCCGTTTTATTGTTTTACATAAGCCATATAGTGTGTCAGGGTGAGATACAAAAACGAGATATCTATTGTCTAGCGCAATACAAGCAGTACTAGGCTAGTAAAGGTGGGCTACTCTAATTCTTATGGCGAATCCAGAGAGAACATATCTTACATCAAATATGGCGGTACTGGTTCTTAGCACGGAGAAGACCTATCTTTTATTAATGACCCACACGCTATACATCTTATCCCCAGGTTGATTTACTTGTGAGTGTGATATTGCCCTCTTCAGATAGTATAAACCCACTATCAATGACTACAGACAACCATGGAAACTGTAGAGTTGAACATTTATTATGGAAAGGGGGGATGATCAGGTGCAAAGCGTTTGCAGTTAATAACATTTAATACAAATGAAACCATATTGACAGATATTTAACTCTTTGAATGTATATTCTTAGTTCATTATATATATATATATATGGTCATAGTTTGAGTTTTTCTCCCTTTAGGTCCACACTTCACGTGACCTATGATACATCTGAATCCCTTCGTCAAGACTGAATGATATCTTGCCGTCATTACGTCAGTATGGGCCTTATAAAGCACTCACTGAGTAGCTGATGTAGCAAAACATATTATTTTGTTTTAATTTTGTTGGATAATGCAATTTCTAGTGTGTTACTATACAATGGACTTGTACTGTATAGGGGTGTTCATAAGGTTAATGCATATTTATTCGGCGGTTATCTTTCAATGTGGCTCATTTGCATCACAAAATAAAGTAGTTTAGTCACTTAGAATGAGAAAAGGAGGATTTTGAGATTTTGAGTGCAATCTTTAACAATATCATCTTCTAAAAAATTACTACCTTTTATAATGATAAAGAATATACAAAAGAACTAAAGGTATTAAAATGACACTATTGTTAAAAACAGGCTGCAAATGACCTTAAACCGAATTAATTTACATAAGTGGGAGTACATAGGTTTATTGTTTTTATTTTTTTACTTCCGAGGCCTCTTATGGCTGTTCGGACACTTTAGATGCTGGTGCATCATTGTTGATTCTCAGGCAGATATTTACCTGATGGCGCTCATCTCCTTTTCAGTTAGCCGTCCATAATTTAGCAGTACAAATCTAGAGAGGAGGCTGTTAGTCATCAACACCCACCGCTAACACTTGAACTACTCTTTTACCAACGAATAATGGGATTAACCATCACGTTATAACGCTTCCACTGTTGAAAGGGCGACCATGTTTGGCAACGGGGCTTTGAACCCATGACCTAACCATCAGGCCATGCTAGGCCTTATTGGTTTCGATAAATACAGATGTGACAACAACAAAGTTTAGTTCTACAACTGTCTTAATTTATGTAAAATTCCTAAATTACAAACTCTGATGTTTACATGCACTTCAATAATGGCTAAGTGATAGTATATTCTTATACACCCAGTCTATTAACTTTGCTTTGTTTAGGCCGTGAATAATACATTGAATTAAATAATTTATCACCTACTTATGACAGGTGAGATACAAAAAATTAAATATCTACAGTTTAGCCCAGCTGCGCTGTACTTTCGTCGTGGATTAAATTTTGCTATGACTACATAGGTTGAGTACATAATATTAAAACGTCATTACATCTCATTGTGCCACGTCCAATCGTGTCCTATCTGACGTCCGTGCATCTTGACAATGGTCCTGTAGTTTCCATTGCAAATGCTCTTTTATAAGTTTTTCATGTTCAAAGCATACCTCTCCCCCTTAATTGTATTTCATAAGCCATATAGTGTACCAGAATGATGGTTTGCAAGTGCTCATTTCAACAGTCTGATTGCATTGAAATCCACAGTCGCTGTATCCAGCGGCTTAACTGATATGTTGTTGTATCAAATAGCATGGATACTTAACACCCGTTTCATTCTCCAGTATCTTGAAATACTGGACAGTTAAAAGGATACCACGTGAAAGTTACACGTGTACTTGTGCCTTGTTTTACTTTCCCAGACTGAGATTATTGTTGATTATATTGTAATGTTGCCTGGGACATACATATAATTGGATTGTGCCAGTGACCTTTGTATTCATGGATTCTCACCTACTACAAGACGCTGCACTATGCTTACCATGCTGGGGTGCGACTTGGTGCTGCTCTCTTGCTGAATGGTCCTGGCACACCAACCTGATCAGGTTCCTATGTTTTCCAATGCCATTAAGAACAAATGATGTACCCATCTTGGAAATTATAATTACGCAATCTGAGCACACTTTTATGATCTGATTGTATATTTTTCGTCGGAAAGGACTGTTACATACTTTTTCATAAAGCTAATAAATTTCGGTAGTATTACACTACCTACGAAACGCTAAACAATGTTAAAATGTTATTCTGGTACATGTCGTTCCTCGTTCCATCGCGACTTTATATCGGCTATGGTTGTTACATGACCTGGATATCAAAGTTGTTTTAATATAATTTTGTCAACCTTCTGTTGCGACACTGAAGAGCAGGAAAAACATCAGAAATTAATGACATATTTGTACTTTTGTTTGTCTTTTATACCCACCTCTTCTTAAAAAAAATTAGTTTTTAATTAATACAGAATGAAAGGAATTGACAAATTAATAAAAAATGAAATTTAATGACTTCATTAAAACTTGTTAGTGTCGGGAAATCTTTAGTTTAATCAAAATTTAAATTCATAAAATGTGAACATTCTTATAACGAGTGCTAAAAATTATAATTTTATAAACCAGACCATTTGGCATATTAATAACGCATTAAACTGTAATCATATATATGGTAGACATAAAATTTATAATAATTGATATTAGCATTTTTAGACGGAGTTTTTCTTTCCTGATAGTGCAACGATTATTACATGTTTCTAGCGGAATGAAGTTATCAAGTATTAAATCTAATAAAGCGTACATTTAACATTAAGTAATACAACGTCGCGGGTTCGAATCCGCATCCCACCAAACATGCTCGCCCTTTCAGCCGTCGGGGCGTTATAATGT